GTGTGTTAGGCCAGAACCTGCTCCATAGAGTTTTCAAGAGTTAGTTTCTGAAAGCAGATCCCCAGAACTCTCTTCTGAGGTGTCCTGGGGTGGATTTGAGCCTTCAACCTTTTGGCTAGCAGCCAAGCCTGTTGACCATTTGCACCACCCAGGGATCCCCTAGGCCATTTAACAATGCCAAACCTCTCCCGGGAACTATAAAATGCAACTCCAGAGACCTACCAGGATCCAGCAGAGTCTCGGAAGTTAGCTTTTTTCTTTACCATAACGCAGGTCACATTTGTGGGAGCCTCTTGCTGACTGCATCATACCCAGGCTGAGCTGAGGTAAGGTAGGTTCCTCTTAATCTACGTAGAGTGCAAATGATGGGCAGTGCTGGATTTGGGGTTGCATGCAGAGGTGTCAGACAAGACCTCTGACCTCAGAGAGTCCTGATCTAGAAGGAAAATTTAGTACCATAATTAAAAAATAAGGAAGTGCCCAGTAGAGACACATATGTACAGAGAAGCCTTGGCCACTCCAAGGATGGCAGAGCCCTTTGGATTGGAAGGTCAAGGAGGGTTTTTTCTAGGAGGTGGCATTTGAAAGGGACCAGATCAGATGGCTCAACGTGGGGACAAGCTTGGGAGCAGCCAACCAGAGTGATTTTTCCTTAAGTCTCCCAGCTACACATCTGACAGATTTCACCTAAATCAGCCTTGCTAAATCTCAAGCCCTATGAAACCCGTTTCTGTTATAATCTCTCTCTCTTATCTCTTCCTTGCCTTCCTTTCCCATTTTCCTCTCCCAAAAGATGGGAAATCTTCAAAGGCAAAGATGTGTCACAGTAAGTATACAGCCCAAGAAATGGGCCAGATAAATTATTAAAACACATGAAAAGATGGTGAGTCATGGGGTGGGAAGCATGTGGAGGCCGAATAGCCAACCCGGGTGGAGCGTGTGCTGGTGGCCTCTGGGGAAGCCCCTCCTCAAAGCCCTGGACATGGGAAAGTTTTATTCCCGGGCCCACCTCTCTGGATTCTCATGCCAGGGCCAGGTGGGGGGTCACTATTCCAATAGTGCCAAAGTCTCAGGTGCCTGCGGGGCTGGAAAGGGTCAGGCTGAAGGTCAAGGGGGCCTTTGTGTCTGGGCTGGACATTTGGGATTTACTTCCTCCAAAACCCAAATGGGTAACTACAGCGTTTTGGTTGTTGCTTTTATCTCTTTTTGAACTGTAAAAAGAAATTCCCAAAGGGCCAAGGGGATACTTATTTTCTCACGAAAGAAGAGAGAGCAATGACCGGTTTAAGGAAGTAACCAGCTTTCTGAGCACTGTGAGAAAGGACGTTCAGGGTTTTGCTTTGATTCAGAAGCGCCCTGGCATAGGGTGGGGTGGGGGTGAGAAAGACAAACAGCCTCCCACAACCAAATTCTCCTTCCTCTTGAGGGGAGTCTGCAGGAAGGCTCTCAGTCGGATTCCCCTTTTCTCCCACTCTTAGACCCCATCATCCTTTTCCTACATCTCTGAGGTTCTCACCCTCAGCACGATTGACATTTTTGGCTGGATGATTCTTTGTTAAGGACCCCTGGTGGTGCAATGTTTAAGCACTGGGCTGATGACCAAAGGTTGGTGGTTCAAACCCATGCAGATTTTACTGCAGAAAAGACCTGGAGATCTGCTCACATAAAGACTACAGCCTAGGAAACCCTCTGGAGCAGTTCTACTCTGCCACATGGGGTGCTATGAGTCAAAAATGGACTCTGTTGCATCTAGGAATGATGACAGTTTCTTGTTGTGGGGGCTGCATTGCGCATGGTAGGATATTAAGCAGCAACCCTGGCCTGTACGCACTAGATGCCTCCAGATATGGTTAAATGTCCCCTGGGGGCAGAATTGCTCTCTCTGCAGACTCACGCTAGCTGGTGCTGCCTTCTAACTGGCCACATTACTTACCTGTTCATTACATTTCTTGTTTCTTGCTTGTGTCCCAGCCATTGAGTGTGGGCTCCATGAGAATGGGAATCTTTGTATATTTTGTTCACTGATGCATCTTATGTGTCTAAAATAGTGCCTGTTATATAAACGCTAAAAAAAATCAAACTCACTGCCATCGAGTCAATTCCGACTCATAGCGACCCCCATTGGGTTTCCGAGGCTATAAATCCTTATAGAAGTAGATTGCCCCATCTTCCTTCCATGGAGCAGCTGGTGGGTTTGAACTGCTAACCTTCTGGTTAACAGCCAAATGCCTTATTCACTAGGCCTGTCACCCAACCTGTAGTTGGTGCTTAATAAATATTTGTTTACAGATGGGGACTCCCTGTCTAATGGTGGAATGTTAGCTTTGGCTAACCAACCTTTGGGACGCCCTGATGTAATGAAAACAAGGATGGTCAATGGAATCAACAAACTTGAGTTTGGTTCCTAACTGGGCCATTGCCTAGCTGTGGGTGAGACACTTCACCTCTTTGAGGCTTAGTCGTCTTCTTTGTAGAACAAGTACAAATTTGCATCAGAGAGTGATTGTGAGGGCTTTACATCACTTAGGACAATGACTGGCACATGGTAGGTACATACACATACATGTATATATGTATGTATATGTATTTGTGCTCCTAGAACTCCTCAGATGAAACTACCCTGCTAATAATATCACCTTGATTTCCATCAAGAAGGGTGTGGAGGAAGTTAGGAGGATGGCAGTAAGATACCATTTATGTCTCTGGAGGGTATTTGAATCCTCAATTCCCATCTGAGTCCTGTAGAAGTTCATGAGTTGTCCTGTCCAATATCATAGCCAGTGGGAGTGTTGGTGGCATAGTGCCTAAGGCATCTGACTGCTAACCAGAAGGCCGGCGGTTCAAACCCACCAGCCACTCCTCAGAAGGAAGGTTGGGTAATCTACTTCTGCAGTGATACTGCCTCAGAGACCCAAGAAGGGGTCACTATGAGTCGGATCCGACTCCACGGCAGTGATTTTGGTCTTTTCCTCGGAACACAAGCTAAGTGATCTGCTTCCCAAAGGTTACAGCCTTGAAAACCCTATAGAGCAGCTCGACAGGCAGAGATGGAGTTGCCTGAGTTAGAAAGAGCTTAACGGCTACTAATAACAATGACACCTGTATGAGTGGCACAAATGGTTTGCTTTTGGCTTCTAACCAGGTTGGTGGTTTGAATCCACCCCGTGGTGCTGGGAAAGAAAGGCTTGAAGATTCAGTTCTGAAAACTCTGTGGTGGGCATTGTACTCAGAAGTACGTGGGGTTGTCATGAGGTGAAATCCACTTGATCACTATGGGTTTGGGTTTGTTTTTTAGCAGCATAAGGCTATTAAGTACATGCAGCGTGCCTAGTTGAAATATGCTCTTAAGTGTAAAATACACACCAGATTTCAGACTTAGTGCAAAGCAAACAATGTGAAATATATGTTGAATTATAGTGTTTTGTATTTATTGAGTTAAAAAAATATTGAGGTGGAGCTGATTCCAATTCATAGTGACCTATATGCCAACATAGAACTGCCCCCATAATTTCCAATAAAACTGTCCTATCTTTCTCCCTTGGAGACGCTGGTGAGTTGGAACCACTGACCTTTCTGTTAGTAGCTGAACACTTAAACCATTGTGCCACTAAAGCTTCTTATATATTGGGTGAGATGAAATATATTATCAAAATTAATTTCACTTGTTTATTTTTACTTTTTTTTAATGTGGCTTCTAGAATATTCACAATGGAGCTCTGGTAGTGTAGTGCTTAAGACACTTGACTGCTAATCAGAAGGCTGGCGGTTCAAACCCACCAGCCACTCCTCCGAAGGAAGATGGGGCAATCTACTTCCATAGTGATACTACCTCGGAAACCCAAGGAGGGGTCGCTATGAGTCGGAAGGCACATAGCAACAACAACATATGTGTCTCCCATTTTATTTCGGTTGGATAGTGCAGCTCTGGGGGGATTGAAAAAAGGGCAGCATTGAGTCTCCATCTTACAGATGCTAAGACGAGGTTCACAGAGGGCTTTCACTCCAAAGGGCAGAGCTAGTCCCCTCACTTCCAGCTCAGAGTTTTCTTTTCCCATGTCCAGGTTGCTGGGACCTGCACTGAGCTTAACAACTGGCCCATGGTGTTCCCCAGCAGAGCAAACATTCTCTCTGAGAACCATCAAGGTGGGGTGGAACCCCTTAATGCCTCTCTCCCCTCCGCAGAGACCTCCCCAGACAAAACAAACAAGCCTTTTGGGTTTGGAGAATTGCAGCGGGGAGCGGAAACCAAGGAAGATCAAAGACTCAGCGGTTACCCCCTTCCGGGCTGCGCAGCTGGCAGCGTCCCGGATCCTGGGCGAGCACCCACCGGCCGCGGGACCAGAGAATCCCAGCGATTGGCTAACAACTCGGAGCCTCTGGACACTTGTCGCCACCAGGAGTGGGCTCACAACTGGTCCAAAGCGCCAGAGTGGCTGCGTCTGGACTTCCACACCAAAAGCTAGAGGGCATGGGTGGAAGCTGGTGCGGATAATAAAGTGAACACTTTCTGCAGAAGGCAAATCATGGGAAGACTGGGAAGCAGCAAAGCAACAGGCGCGCATCAGCTCATGTTTCCTATCCCGACCTCAGTTTCCCCACCTGTAAATTGGAGTCTCTGAGTCCTGCCCTGCCAGCTTCCAGGAAATCCAACGCGGAGGG